CCCCCCCCCCCCCCTTCTCTTTGGGTTGGTTCAGCATCACTTCACCCACCTGGAGACCCCAAGAACCCTCCGTTAACGAGCGGCCGCTAATGAGGAGTGGGAGCCTTCGTGATGGGAACATCAGTGATTCTGGGGGGGGCTTTGGGGGCCAGGATTCCTCCCCAAGCAGCTCATCCCCCCCCAGCCCCCCACGGCCCTTTGGAGCATCTCTGGGCTCGACGTCGCTCCATTTCACCCAACGCTGCCATGGTGGAGCTCAGCATCCCCGTGTGCTGGGATCATCCCGGAACGAACGCTGCATCCCAACCCAACGCTGGATTTCCCATCCCAGCGCCGCAGCTTTGCGAGCCGAGAGGAGGAAGGAGATTTTAGGGGACGCTTCTCAGCTCTTGGAAGGAGGAAAAACCCTTCTGCTCAATGCTGTCCTTAACGCAGCTTCGGGAAGTTTTCCTTCTTGGACACACGGGGAGAATCTGCTGATTTCTCCGAGGGAGGAAATTCGCCAGGATCCCATTTGCAACCCAACGTCTGCTACGAAAACATCATCGCCGTGGAGGGAAACCATCGTGGATCTCAGCTCCAACCCAAAAATCCTATCGTGATCCCATTGGAGCTTTTGGGAGCTTCCCCCAAATTCCTCCTTGGATCGAATTCCGTTGCGATCGTTCACCCTTTGCGCTTCTGGAGTTGTTCCCCAAAGAAGAAATCCTCGCAATCGAAGCGTTTGGATGGAGAACCCAACCGGAGCCTTTGGGTTCGCTCAGCCCTTCACCAAAAAAAAACCCCAAAAAAGGGGTAAAAAAAGCCCCCCAAAAAGGCTCCGAATGGCACCAGGAGCCATCAGGCCCGGTGCGGATCTCTCTCGGCTTTCTGGTGGGGCATTTCCCCATCCTCGGCTCCCAGGGAAGGAAGCAATTGTCCCCACTTAACCATTTTAGCATTTAAATTGTGGCGGTGCCGCTCCGCCTTCGCGTGGCCACGGGGCGATGGGTTGGGGGAGGGATGCTGCAGTGCTGCTCCGTGCCTCGCCATGAACGGCTGCCGGCGAGTGTGGTGAGACGACTTTTGTCGCTTCTTTTTGCTTTTTTAGAACCCAGAAATTGCCTGGAATTTGGGGAGGGGGGGGGGTTTAATGGGTCGCGGTCGGGGGAATGGTTGGATGATGAGACGGAAGCGTCCCCAACCTGCCTCAAACCGGGGGTCTTTAGGGTGGAGGCATCCGCTGCCTTTCCCCGTGGGTTTCTGAGCTGCAGGGGTGGCTGTGAGGAGGGGGAATCTCCCTTTTCCTCCCCCGTCGGACTCAAAAACCCCAACCAAGAGCTGGGAGATGGAGAAGGGCAGCGGTTGGTCCCAGTGGAGAGGAGGGACACCAGCAGTCTTGCAAAGGGGAAAAGCCCCTTCCTGGAGCAGGGAGGCTTCAGCTCTTCCCCAAAAAACCCCATGTGTGTGGAGGAGGGGGAGGAGAGAAGGGCCATGGATCAATTCCAGCGTGCCCAGCGTTGGTTTTTTGGGGTTTACCCAAAATCCAGGTTCCTTGCGACGTCGGGGTCGGTGCACGCGGGGCTGCGGGTTCGGTTTGGGGTGCTGTAGGGCTGGAAGGGCCAAAGTGGGGCGCTGCAAAGGGAAACAAAAAGAGCTCTTCAGGTTGTTTTGCTTTATTTCAGATTGTTTTGCACCCTTCGGGTCCCTCTGCAGGGACTCACTCATTTTGCCCGCGCTCGTTTTGCCTGCTCTCGTTTTGCCATCAGCTGTTTTAGGAATGGGGTGACGCATTTTGAGGCTATTTCCCTCCTTTTGCTCCAACTTCTCCCAGGGCTTCGGGTGAAATCTGCTCCTTGCTGAGCCCTCGGTGCTGCCTGGGTCCAATCCTGCTCCCTTCAGGTCTCTCTTTGCCACCGCTTATCGCTCACGGCACCCAATGCTTGGCATGGAGGCAACGGGCTCAACTATGGGCCATTGTTTTCCTCTGGCTCCTGCGATGAAATCGAAGCCTGCTCTTGAGTTGAGGGTGGGTTTATCAGCTTTTTCGGGGTGTGCTTTGATCTGGGGCTGAGGTTTGAGCGGTCCATCCGGCTGCACCTGGCCGATGCGATGGGAAATAGGGGGTGACACCAGCAGGATGTCCCACATCTCTCCGCGTCCTTCTGCAGCTGGATTTAAGCAAGAAAAAGTGGAGTTTTCCACGGGGACTGACTTGATCCTGGCTGAGCATCTTCTACCCAGCAGCTTTGGGATGGCGGCGGCGATGGGTGCAAAATGCCTCCAGTTCCAAAACCCGATTTGGAAATGCAGTCATGCAGCACATGTGAGCGTTGGGCGCCTCGGGGTCCCACTGGGTGCCCAGATCTCATCCAACTGCAGGACGGGTCTGGCGTAAAGGCGGCGACGGCACCGGATTTTGGGGTATTTTTAGGGTTTTTTTTTAATCTCACTGAGGACGGAGCAGCCCAAGTGTTGGGGAGCTTCGCCCCACTACAGGGGTGAGGGCAGCAAAGTGGCTTTTTAGGAGGAAAGGAGAAGGTTTTGGGGTCATGGTGCCTCCGCTTGGCTCCGCCGCTTTCCTCCCACGGCCTCGGGCTACGGTGGCTGATAACAGCTCGAATAATTCCCTCTCTTCATTTGCATTGTTACCTTGAAGGTATTTATAGTCTCCCTGCCTTCTCCATCCCTGGCTGTGTAAATTTAGCTCCTTGCCTCTCCCCGGGTGCCTTTATCCAGCCGATAAGCTGCGCTTTTTAGCACCGCTTTCTTCTTTGTGGCAGAGATCTCCCTTCCTCCAGGTGATTCTCACCCCCGCCCCTCTCAGCCTCCTCTACAACTCGTGGGTTTGGGGGCAACGCGTTGGTTTTAGGGGGACAGACCCACCTGGCTCGCTTGGAAGATCCCCAATTTGCTCCCATCCGTACGCTTTAACTCAATGTGGGGATAGAGGATTTCTTGTGGGTAATTTTGGGTCGGTGTCCATGACCGGGCTGCTTCTGTTCCTTTAACCCCTGCTCAGTGTCTGCAGTGACCCTTGGATTTTGGGAACCAGGGGTCTTTGAGGGGTCAAACTGCGATCTTTCTGGCAGCAACATTATGGGACTCGGGCACTTCTGGGGAGAAATAACAGGTTGGAGGGTTTCCTCTGGCTTGTTGTGAGGGGATGAATGGTCCCAAAGCAGAGGGATGCTGTCTGTCTTCCCTCTCTGATGGGACGGGGAGAAAGCTTCGTATTGGTTACATCACCTCCAGGATGGACCTGGCACTGTGCAAAGGACGAGCGGTGGGACCCGAAATCTTAGCCAGGGCTTGACTTGGGAATCAGCAAATGAGGGATGAGCAGAGGGCAGCGTTGGGAACAGCAGCTTGGATGGAGCCTGCTGGGTTTTCGGGAGCTGCTTGCTGCTCTCACAGCCTCCTCCGCCTCGGCGAAGCCGCGCTCCTCTCATTTTCCCCTCTCTTATCTCTGTTTCTCATAGATTTTTCCGGCTGTCCCTGGCCATCAACCCTCCCGAGTCCCAGCGCGGTGTTTTTTTCCAAGTGACACAGCACAATCAGCAAGGGATGGAGAAAGCTGTCCCTACTTTATCAGAGCAACAGCGAGAGCGCCAGGGAGATGGAAGCAGAGCCCTGCTGATGCCACTGGAGCCAAACAAAGAGAATTTCGCTGCCCCCGATTGCCCCCAAGGTGAAGAGCGAAGAGCTGCTTTTGTGAAAGATGCAAAAAAGCCTCTGGAGAGCGCGGCTCTATCTGGGACATCGGCGGAAGCGGGGACGGAGCTCGGCGAAGCCGCCTTCTACACCACTGATGACTTGGTGACGATGAGCAGGGACACGAAGGGACCCTCTGGCACTGAGCTCTGTCCCCTACAAGAAGACCCCGTCTTCTTCTCTCCACTGTCTCGCCAAGAGCCCGACATCGCCCTGGAAGCCTGCGACGTGGCCGGTGAGTCGCCTTGGGTTCTGCTGCGGGCTGTTGGCGGCTCTTGCATGGCCACGGTTGGGTTTGGGGTTGCTTTGGTTTTGTCTGTTGGTTGTTTGGCAGCCCGGGTCTCGCTGGCATTGCCCAGCTCTGGTTTGTGATGGTTCTTCCCTCGTGTGGTTTGGAGATGTTTTTTTGCCACGAGGTGTTGAGGATTTGGGGAAATGGAGCTGCGGGGGGGTGGGAGAGGTGCGGATTTAAGGCTTGGGGTTGCGGTAAAATGAGGAAGCTGAGTGTACTCGTGTCTGGGTCAAGCAGCAGACAGGTGTGCCAAACCCCACTTGGGCCTCATTGGGGGACCCCGAATGGGACGCGTGCCGTCACCCTCAGTGGAAGGCTATGAGCTGGCCAGGGAGCTGTCTGAGGAGCTCTGGTAACCCACTGAGGTCACGTCTCCATCGTGGAGACTGATGGCACCAGGATCTGTTCCGTGGGAAGAGCCAACTCTCAACAGCTGGCCCTGGAGGGCCGTCTTGGAGCCCAGGTCTGACGTTTGGGACCCACCGTGTGCCCCGAAAGCTCTTGTTGGGTTGCAGCCACGTGTGCTGTGCGTCCCCTCGGGGGCTCAGGATGCGCGTGGGCAGCGCTGAACCCCCCTTGCTGCAGCAAACCCAACTTTTGGGCACGCTTGGTGAGTCAGATCTGCCATCTGTGGCTGCTTTCTGGTATCTCTGGGGCTGAAACGCCGCCGCCTGCACCCGGTTGGGTTGAGCATCTCTGTTACCTATCAGTGATCCCAATGGAAAATCCTACTCCAAGGGCTCTTGGATGTTTGTGAGCAAAGCTGCTGTGCTTTTGGGATATTTTCTGTGCTTCCCCAGCTCTGTTCCTGCAGGGCAGCCCCTCGCAGCTGCTGCTTTTCCCTAAATCCCTGCTTTTCCAGCATCTGCCCCTCGCCTGCTCTGAGGATTTCCCTGTTTCTGTGCCATCCCTGCATCCTCCAAAACTTTGGCATCGTTTGGATGCCGAGCGCTGGCGGGGTGCTCGCGTCCACCCTGCACGTTCACAGCCCTCCCTTCCTTCCCTCTTTCCTTCTGGGATGCTGGCTGGTGATTGGCCTCATTAATTAACTCCTGGCTGGAAGGTGGCTCTCAGTTCCTCCGCTGCGGACAGCGGGTGGAAAATTAACTCACGGAGGGGGAAGGAGTGTTTGAAGAATGAGCAACGCGGGGCAGCCGGGCGTGAGGTTTAGGGCAGGGCAGTTTTCCTCCTGCGCTGAGCTGGAGGGCAAATCCTGCCTGGTGCTGAGCAGAATTCAGGGCTTTTTTCCCCTTAAAAATCCCTGAGGGAAGGCAGGTTTGGTGCGGAGCGATGCGCAGCGATGGCGAGATCCTGGGTTCCCTGCCTTGCTCAGAGGAGCCTCGTGCTCTGCTTTGGGTGATTTCACCCATGGCTGCTCAGGACTTCACGAGCGCTGAGCCAACGTTGGGAGCAGAAGGAAGAAATCCCGATGGAAAGCCTTTGCGTTTCGGTGGCTTCGTGTCTCCTCTTTCCTCCACGAGAAGCTCTTTGGGCTCTGTTCTGTGCTCTCCAAGCAGCCATTTGGGCAATAAATAGTTTCAAACTGCGTTTTTCCTGGAGGGAAATGGGGATGCTCTGCGGTCCCCTCCCTCCTTTAGGGCTGAGGGAGCAGCATGGCTCACAGATCTCAATCCCAAGCCCTTATCTGCTGGCTGCATTTGCAACTCCCTGCGCACCCCCTGCATCACGGGACCCTTATCAGCCCCGGCCTGGGGGGTTTCCTCCCCATATCAGCATTGTTGGGGCAGGGCTGTTGGAGCCGAGGTCGCGGCACACTGAGCTTTGTGCTGAACTCTCCCTTGTCCTGCTGGTTCGTGTTCATTGTCCCCATTGTGTCCCCATAGGTGAGTTATCAGGATGGGGCAGGTTGGGATTTGAGGCTTGCTGAGGGGGGGAAGCAGTTTGGGAATGGTGCCGTGAGGTTTCCTGTGCAGGGATGTCTTGCTTTGGGATTGCTGTGGCAGTTTCAGGTGTCCCCAGGTCCCCCCAGCAGTGGGACAGCCTGCTTTGGGATGACACGTGGGGTGTCACGAGATCCCCAGTGCTGGAACATCCAACTTTGGGGTCTCTGTGGCACTGAGAGGTGTTTCCACGATCCCTGACATCAGAGCATCCAACTTCAGGGTTGCTGTGGCAGTGTAGGGTGGCCTGAGGTCCCCAGCGTAGGGACATCCAGCCGTGATGGTGCGAGTTGTCCCCAGTATTGAGGCGTCCCTCTGTGGGATTTCTGCAGCGGCGCGGAGTGTCGCAAGGTCCCCGATGTGGGGGCATCCGTTTGGTTGTGAGGGGTGTCCCCGAGGTCCCCAGTCTTGGGACATTCTGCACTGGGCTGTGGTGTGGGGTGTCCCCAAGGTCCTGCACAGGACACGACTTCATCCCTGGGGACGCTTCGTAGCCGGCTGGAAAGCCCAGCTATGGATTTCCAACCAGTGCCACGCATCAAACTGGTTCAACTGGTTCAGGTTTGGGTATAGACGACACCTCTGTGCTCTCCAGGCTAAAAAGGGGCATTTTCATCCCAAATCACCAACTGGGAGGATCAGCCCAACCCACCAAGGAAGAGGAGAAAGGGAAGGAGATGTTTGATTCATACAGGTCTGACGGTGAGGGCGATGCCCTGCTGGGCACAGCCAGCGTCCCACCTCCACGTCCCTCCCGTTTCCCCACCTTTGGGGTTAATTTTTCCTCTTTTTCCCTTTTAATCCCTCTTTCTGCATCCCCTTCTCTTGCAAGAACCGCCGTTGCGGGTCAGGAGTGACTTTCCATTCATCCGTCCGAGCTCCGATCGAACTGAGATCACTCCTGGGAAAGGCTGAGCCCTCCTTATGTTGGTATTTTAATGTTTTATTTATTCTTTTTTTTTTTTTTTTTCCTTCCTGCTGGAATGAAACTCAAGAGCCCACTGGAGCCTGGTGTCACGCCTGAGAGCTTCGGGGCCGTGTTTGCCTTTGTGCTCAGCTGGGATGTCGAGGGGCTGCAGGTTGGGGGAGATTTGATGCCAAAATGCACCCAGAGGAGTCACCGGACGTCTGGAATGGTGATAGGGGTGCAGCTGTGTTTGGGGATCGTCTCCATCTGCGGCCACAGGAGGTTGGGGACGACGTCGTCCTTGGTTTGGGTCTTAATCGCTGCTGGGGAGCAGTTTGGCCGCATCCTGATTTTGGTATCTGGCCTAAATCCTCTGAGAAGAGGAGGAAAAAAGGGCTGACCTCAAGCTGCGCTGCTCTGTGACTCAGTTTCCCCTTGCAGCTCCTTTCCCTGCATTCTACCTGCAAGCTGGAGAAAAACCCGCTGGGACTGGGGGCAGTGCAGCCCCACAGCGATCTGTTGGGCACGGAATCTGTCCTCGTGGGTGTCCTTGGTCCCCTATGGGCCACTGCTATCGGGAAAGCAGAACTCGTTAGGGCTTTTCCAGGGTCATCCCACTGAACGATGGTGAGGTCACTGCAGCTTTGCGCAGCTGCAAGGAAAAAAACACTGGAATGGAATTCCCCAAATCTGTGTAGTTTTTTGGGGATGGCGGCACGGAGTGCCTTTTTTGTGGAGGGGATGGGAGCCGAGAGACAGAAGGGCAAAGATGAGGTGTTTGGTTTTGTTTCTCCACTCAAAAGAACGCGATCTGCACAGCGCTTGGGTAACTGAGGTGCCACAGGGCGATGGAGATGAGGGGAAAAGACAGCGAAGCATCAGTGCTGTGAATGCATCTGGGGCACGATGGCGACTCCTCTGTGTGCAGGAAAAGTGGATAAATTGTACTTTTTGTGGGAAATTTGAGAGCCTCAGCTCTTCCGCTCACTCTGCATTGGGTTCTTGGGTCTCCAGGAGCTGAATGCCAGGTTTGGGTTGGTTTGTGTGGGGTTTCTCCTGCCTTGATGTCTTCCAAGAAGGGTCTGGTGATAAATGAGGTGACTCTGGTGATAGATTTGTTTTGTCATGTTAACCTGGATGTCTCAGTTCCTCGTTGCAAAGTGCTGGAATGTGTTCTGGGGGAAAAACATGTTGGTTTTGCAAGGTGGATCCCAATAGGAAGTGGGAAATGGTGGCTAGGTCTGGGGCTTGGGCGGGGAGGTGAGGCATCGTGGCACTGATCTAGTTCTGAACTTCAAGCCATTGGAATGAGTTTTAGGAGTGTTTGGGGCGAAAAATGAGTATCAGAGGGAGTTTTTTTGGGGGGGAAACGTTGATTTTTGCAAGGTGGATCCCAATAGGAAACACTTCAGGGTGGGAAATGGCGCTTAGGGTTGGCCATGGGGTTTTGCAGAGAGCTCTTGGTTGAGTTTGTGTGTCCATCCTGGTCCAGATTGGTGGGAGTTTGGTTGGAAACACTGAATGGACCCCCAGAAAGGCAAAGAAATTGGTGTAAGCTCAGCTTTGGGGCCGTGTGGATGCATAGGGAATGGGGATGGGTGCCTACATGGAATGCATTTGGGAGATCCTTGAGCGGATCCTGGCATGGCCAAAGCTCAGCACAGTTTCATCCCAATCCTTAAGCTCTCTCTTTGCTTGAAGACCTGAGTTTTCCCCCGCTGAGAGTCTTGTGGTGCTGCTCTCTGATCCTACCCCAAAATTGCATCCCACTGCCCCTCTCTGTGTGTAGGGTCTGACACAGAGCTGAAGCGCTCGGTCTGTAGGAGCCTGGAAAACTCAGTGAGGACATTGAGGAGGCCAAACCGTGCACGACCTACATTTGTGTGAGATCTGGGGCTGGTGGGAAGGTGAGACCTTGAGATGCTGTCCTTGTTCCTCATTTCAAGGTATTGGGATGAATTTTGGGGGGGGGGGGGGGGAAACACGTTGGTTTTGCGGCACCGATCCCAACAGGAAGCGCTCCGCGGTGGGAAGCGGTGCTTTGAGTTGGCTGCGGGGCTTTGCAGGGAGCTCTGGTGGCCTCCAACCCTTCTCCCAAGCCCTTCCCAAGGCGTGTTTGCCAACGCTTTGTTTCC